CATTTCATTAAATATGATATATTAATATAACAACATCTGAAACAAAACAAATGTATATCATAGCATAAACTTTAATAACACAGCAAATATAAATAAAAAAATAAGTTAAAACAGAAAAGAATGAAACAAAAAAAAAAGAGTTATTCTATAAATAAATAAATTAACGTTATATATGACAATAAAAGAATCATAAAAAGAAAAGAACTGAAAGAAACAAATGAAATTTGTTGAAGTAAAGCCAATATCATTAATAATATTTATTTCAGACTTGTTAAGTTTAATTTTTTTTGTAACAGGAATGACTATGGCATGGAATTATCTTTATAGAGATAATACCGAATTTCGATTAAATATATTTGGATATATTAAAACTGAACAAGGACATAGTAGAATTAAGTCATATAAAGACTTTGATAATTTTGCAGAATTAGGTTTGTAATTATATTTATTAATTTATCTGTTTTTCTTCATCTAAAGATAAATTAAATTAAGGAATTGAAGAATTAAAAGAATAGCTGGATTAGTTGTTGTTTCACATCTTATTTATTTTATTGCAGGAATATTTATTTGTTTATATGATTTTAGAAGAATATATCCATCAACAATAGGACATTTAAGAAGAACAAATTTTATTATTTGTTTATTTTTTATAATGTATAGTTTATATCAAATTAGTATTTTATTAGCATGGATATTTCGTGTAAATAAAATAGAAAAAGATGATATACGTTATTTTATGGATAATACTATGCATAATCCTAAAATGGGATTTTGGTTTTCATTGAGTGCAACTATATGTCAATTATTTGCTACTATAGTGAGGTTGTTTATGACTATTTTAATTAAAAATTGATTGTTCTTTTAATGTTATTTATTTTATTATTAAAAATTGATTTTATTATTATTAAATATAATAAATTCATTAAATTGAAAGGAACTTTAAAAAGTAAATAATTGTTTTAATATCATTATGGGGTGCTGTTCTTCTACTGCAGGAGTCGATGAAAATCAACCACTTCTTTCCGTTGTTGAAAATTTACAACCTCCAATTATTAATGAAACACCAAAAGTACAAAGAGTTTATACACAATTACCACCAACAGAGGAGAATAGTAAAATGATCAAAGAAATAAACACTCAGTATTTAAGTAAACAACATAATTCTCAAAATCATATTGAAGATATTCAACAATATATTAAAGAAATTAAAAAGAAAACAAAAACAATTCAAACTAAAGAAATATTTGCTCTTCCTAAATCAAATAGAAATGATGTTGAATCTGAATTTGATCTTCAATTCCTTCGTTCAGTCCTTCAAACAAATATAAATATTATTTCTGAAGAATATAATAAAACTAAAGTAACTAAAGCAACAAATTTAATTGTTCCATTAGACAATTTACAATAATAGTATTCCTTTTATTGAATGTTTTTGTGTGATTTAATTTAATAATAAAATAACTATTTTAAATAATAAAATAATACAATTGAAGTATTTAAACAGATTATCTCTTTCCCACCATTTCTTTTATTTTCTTTTATTATTTATTGTTGGTTGTTGTAAATATGGGTTCTATTGGTGTTTGACTTATTTGTTGTGATACTAATGGTGGAATAGAAAGAACTAATTTTAAAAATGGAAGAGAAGATGGTTTAGCTAATTCATCTGTTAGAAAAAGTAATGAATGTAAATTCTTATTAAAAGCGTTAATATAATTTGGATTTAAAGCGATATTAAGTTGGATACTTTCTTGAATATATTTTAGTATTGATTCATTTTCTTTCAATATATTATCTATTTGATTTATAATATATTGTGATTGATTAATCGAATTCAGTTGTAATGAATTTATAGGAATTGACTGATTGATAAGAACTCTTGGTTGTAATGTTTGTGGTAATGATTGATGTCGAGTAATATGTGTTGTTGTTACTGGTTTTTGATTTATAGATCTTAATGGTTGTTGTATTTGGGATGAATTAAGAATTTTTGATTGTTGAATTGAAGTAAAAGGTATATTTTGTTGAGAACCAGTTTGCATTACACTGATAATACCAGATCTTCTTTTTATTTGGTCATTAGAAGATTGTTGTTGGTATTGAAGAGAATTTAATTCATTTCTTTCTTGTAATGATTGTAATTGCATAAAACGAGCTGAACCTCTATTATGTTTTAAATTCATTGGTCCTTTAAATTGAATTAATCCTGGTATTTGTGTTAAAGGATCTGAAAGATCTGATTGAATTGAATCAGATTGAGTTTGTTGATTAAGAGATTGATATTTAGATTGTATCTTTAAAAGATCAGGTGAAGAAATAGGAGAAGAATCATCCAACCCATTAGGAACTGATTTTCTTTTCCTACGTTGTTGATCTTCAGATAATTTTTTAGGAATAAATTGACAAGATTTTCTATTTCTTAATTTTTCCATTTTATAACGAGGAGAAGAATGATTAGAATCTTTAGGAGATTGTAAAGGAGTTTGTTGTTCTTTTCTTTGGAAAGTTTTCCAATAATTTTCCCAAGAGACTGTCTATATAAATTAATACAACATATAATAAAAAAGATAGAAATATAAAGTAAATATAATAAATAAGAACAAATAGAATATTTTATTAAAAGACATTTTCATTATTATTTTATAATTCAAATAAAGATATGTTTGTGTTTTTAAGTCTTAGATAATCATATGTTAATATTAATTATTTAATAGAAAAAAAAACAAACTTCTTTTAATTGTAACCAATGAACACGCATTGTTAATTGTTGAATTGTTTTATTTGGAAAAAGCATTGAGATTTGAAAAATAGATTTTAAATTATCTTCAGTAATTTCTAATTTTTTAATATTTTCATCTAATAACAATTGTTCTTCTTCTGACCAAAAAGGTGCTGGTGTAGTTGGTGAATGTTCAAAACAAATAGACATTTGTTCTTCTGATTTAGTGTCTTGTTGTAATTGATTGTTGTTTGATGGTGAACTTTCGACTTGAGTGCTCATCAACCTGATTTTTGAGTTAGTTCCAGTTTTCAACAACAACTTTCTCCAAAAAATAAAAATTCAAAAGAATTTGGTGTTTTTCTCTTTTTATCTTTTCTCCTATCTTTTTTTTTT